ATAGAAGCATAATGTTTTCTACACTTCTGATCCTTTAAAGATATCTGACCCATCAAATCAACGTCTACTTCTCTGTCACTAGGTTTTACACGAATATTATTCATGGTCAAAGTAAAAAATGTAAATTTTAATGACCCAGGTACTGGTCTACATACAAGGCTAGGTTAAGTATAAGAATGAGTCTAACTCCATTATGGGTAAAATTTAATTTTGACAAAGTCATACAATGTTATTCAGTAATATTTACTGATGCGACCACGTTTCGAGCACAAATTATTGCTACCCATAATCATATCAAGGTTCATTACAGCTAAGTGTTTTGATAATTCATGCTTGGGTGTATTTTTGAAGTCTACTATTGGTCTTATGGAGTGACCTGCTTTATGTACTTTTATAGTACTGTATATTCTACTAGCGAGTCGGTGGCACAGCGGTTAGAACGCTCACCAACCATGCACATGATTTGCGATTCGATCCTCGGCCACCGACGTACTCCTCTACCTTGCTAAGCCAGAAATAATGCTGGTAAAGAGGAAAGGTTGGACATCATGCTAGCAACCCCATCCTGTAAAATAAACACTGCTACAGAAACTTCAACCCTGTGGTTTAAAGCCCTATGTTCCCCTGGGAACCTGAAGGAATAAAAAATATATATATTATACTTGCTTTATCAGTTTCAGACATTAATATGATTAGGCCTTGATATGATTATGAGTGGCAATAATCTGTGCTCGAAACGTGGTCGTCAGTAAATATTGCTCTATAACACTGTGTGATTTTATAAAAAATTTCCTATACTGAAGCTGTACGCTACCACAGTGCCCAAGTTTTATCCTTATATCAATAAGAAAGACTCATTGGACAATCAAACATAAATAAGATTTTCTATAGTTTGGTTTGTAAGCGTTAGTTTTGTTTCTTACGAGTTGATCACGGATTGATATCAGCTGGAGAACCATCGAAAACCAGACACAGGGAGCACTGGACAGCCGGCTATTTCATCCTAGTTTTGGAATCATCGGCAAGACACACCCACTAGGGTTCGAATTCATGAGCTGTTGAATCGGGTTCCAGTGTCTGAATGGTATACGAGCCAGCTTGCCTTGTAACCGGGAGGTCCTGGTGTTCGAACCCTGGAAGTGAATGCATACTTCCGATGATTCCCAAACAAGGATGAAGCAGCAGCTGTCCAGTACACCCTGGTTTTCAATGGTTCTTTAACTGATATCAATCCGTGGTCAACTCGTAAAAAATAATTAGGATCGGTTCAAATATATAAACATCGTTCGAGTCCACTATGTCGTCAGAATTTCTTACCAGAGTGTGTCAGAAAACTATGAATAAAACTCTTGAATGCATAATCACGTGTAGGTTTTCATATTGCGTGATAAATTAATCATGTAATTCAGTGGCTAGTGCATTTACCTAGTCAGTTAAATATTTGTAGATGAAGCAGGATTTAATACAGTTACCAAAAACTTTGAAAATCGAATTACTGTCGGTAAACTACAAAGAGCTTATTTTTGTCTTTTTGAACGATGTTTAAAAGAAAGAGAAATATGAACAAAAGTTTGTTAGACTTAGTTTCATTTGAGCTTATTGTCATAATAATTTTTCCTTCACGTTCCCAGTGGAACATAGGGCTCCAAACTAGTGGCTTGAAGTTTCTGTATCAGCGTCTATTTTTTACAGGATGGGGTTGCTAGCCTCATGCCCAACCTTCCCTCTTTACCAGCATTATTTCTGGCTTAGCGAGGTAAAGGAGTGCGTCGGCCGGGGATCGAACCCTGGACCATATACATGGTCGGCGAGCGTCCTAACCGCTGTGCCACCGCCACCACCGCTGTGCTTATTGTCATAGGTAAATTGAAATACAATATTACATGTATGGCAAGTTCGTACATTGTTGAATAAATCAATTGAAAATGCATTTGTATTTCACTGGGTTATTTTTTGTGTACAACGATAAGCGTTTTTGACTTCAGTAAAATATTCCGAGCATAATTACTTACTGCCCGTGATCACACCAATTGTTGGAATTATTTTTTTTTAATTAATTGAAATGCAATATATATTTATGTTAAAAGTGCTTTTTTAAATACATATAAAAGTACAAAAACTGAAGTAACATGTAAATTTTTAATCTATTAGTCACATTAAATGTTGATAAAAATGAGATACTTTTCTCCTTTAGGTTGTTGTTTAAAAACTGGTGAGCTATATCCACCATCTTGGCCTTAAACCAACCCCGATCTTCATGCGATGTTGCGGCAAGAGGTTTGAGTTGGTCATATAAATTTTCAAACTCAGCATGGATGGCTAAATCCGTAAATTGCTTGTGAGGAACACAAAATCTGAGTCCAAAGGATAAGGCTTCTTTCTGATCAGCAGATAAAGTAATATCAGAAAGATTTGTAACATACTTCACCGGAAAAAGATCTACGCGGTTAATGATACTACTCTATATACTCATTAGAAAGAAGCCTTATCCTTTGGACTCAAATTTTGTGTTCCTCACAAGCAATTTACGGATTTAGCCATCCATGCTGAGTTTGGAAACTTATGTGACCAACTCAAACTTCTTACCGCAACATCCAATGAAGATCGGGGTTGGTTTAAGGCCAAGATGGTGGATATAGCTCACCAGTTTTTAAACAACAACCCAAAGGAGAAAAGTATTTTGAATTTCCAGCATTTCAAAGACTTTAAAGAGCTACGGGAAAATTCTAATAAAAATGATATAGGCCTGAATAAACATATAATCATATTGATGTAACAGGTTACAGTTAAAAGGGGAATTGAAAAGTGGAATATATATCATACGACTTCACACTAGGTCTCTTCACATTACCAATTCGATACTCTACCTAGTGAATTATAAGATTCATCTGATAAGCAGGTTTTGATTTTATTCCAATTGTCAAGGATTTTGTTGTCATTAGAATATTACTCTAGCAACCGGGATAACTTGTACTAATTCTACTCATAGTGAACTAAGAAATGTGTTGGCAAAGTTAAACTTAGGAAAGCTTAGTCAACAAATTACTGAAACCAGGGTAAATGATGTGATAATAATGAGAAAAATATGCTTAGTGGAGTGTTATGAAAATGGGATATCTGGTAAGTTTAGGCCTAGGTTAGGGTTAGATTAATCTAATTAGTGTGATATTATGGTTGATTCGACGTAGATCAAGGTTAGGTTAAGGAAAGCCTGGGGTTAAGGTTAGAAGATCAGACCTACTCTTTCAACGCCACAGCTGTTTCAAGGCTCATAGATGGGTTCACCCTTCTTTGGGGCTCAAAGTTTAAATTTACCGGAATGTGAAACACCAAGTTGTCTCTGGTTAGGGACACCATATGATAAAACTTTGGATAAACAGACTTACAGAGAGGGACTAGGCGATGCTTTCATTTATCCAAAAAACGTACTAGATAATGAGGATTTAAAAGACGTTTGTATGCTTTGATTGTCAATGATGCCATCTCTGATAATAAGAAAGAACTCGTTAAAATAACTACTTACTCACTTTACCATATGCTGGAATGGATGATTTTGTATAAATGTAGTGGCAGTATTGTTCTATAAAATACTAGATACATTTTCTGAGGCAAATATTTCCAGTCAGACGGGATTAACCCTATTGAAGATGTATGCTGTGGTTCAACAACTAGTATATATGTATTTTAATAACTCCCAAATGCATGGCTTTCGTTACACGTAATGCATGAAAGGAAATATAAATGAAACTGAACACAAAGTTTGTCTTTTTAATCACTGTATAGGGTAAAATTGTGAATTATGATTCATTGAGTAGTGGTCAGATATTAAAATCAGATAAATGAACAGATCAGAGTAGGGCTTTGTGAAAACTATACCAGTTCAAGCAAGCTGAAACACTTTTCATTCTTGCAATGATGCATTTGAGATGTGTAATGAGATAGTAAAACAAACAAGAACATTGTGGAATGAAAGACAGCAAATAATGAAAATAAGATATTTAAAATTCAGACTGCTAAGAGTGAGTATATATCCACGAAACAAATAATATCGCTAAGAATTTAGAAGTATTTCTTTCTAACATCCAGGCAGTCTATCTCAGGATTCATGACTCAGAATTGATTTTTGTAAGTTTGATAATGGATTGGCATCAGTGAGAGAACCATTAAAAACCTTAGAAAGCTGGACGGCTGTTTCTTCCGTCCTAGTATGGGACTAGTCGGCAGCATGCACCTAACGGGTTTCGAACCCAGGACGCAGAGTATTGGTCGCGCCAAAATCACGAATTGGTAGAAGGCAGAATTAATCCAATGTCCATTGAACGGGATCTCAGTGGATGAATGGTATATGAGCTTGCCTTATAACGGGAAGACCTTGAATTCGAAAGCCGGTGGGTGCGTACTTCCGATGAGTCCAAAACTGGTATAAAACCACTGCCCAGTATTCTCTAGTTTTTAATGTTTCTTTAACTGATATCAATCCGTGGTCAAACTTGAAAAATAAATCAAATCCCTACACACCAACTCTTGAAAAGTCAGATTTGACTAAGTTATGCATTAATTTGAATATGTTGTATCAATGAACAAAGAAGCTTAGGTGATTTAATGGTGGAATGCTCACCAGCCATGTACCTGGTTAATTCTCTGTCGGTAGTAAGCTTGGCAAAGACAGAAGTTTCGGTGGGAGACTAACAGCCCCGCCCTCGGCAAAAGAATAACACCACTGCTAGTGAGACTTCAAATGTAAGGCTTGAAGCCTACATTTCGACTGGTTATGCAGTGGAATGAATGATTACTTATGAAGAAGATTTGAGAAAGATAGATGGTCGACTTAAATCACAGTGTTACAATGGTTAATGCACACTGCGAATGAATTCTGAGTGGAAACTGATCTTGTATCATCATGATAAATAAATAAATCTCCCCCCCCCCCAAAAAAAAAGTTTATTAAAAATCTATTTTCATATGAAGACAACAAAGATTTCTCTTCTCAAAAAACTTACCACAGCAACAGCTGGTGTAGTCAGTATTTCATGCAATGAAACCACTGTAACATAAGCAACATTAGCCAATGTATAAACAACAGTGACAACGAGACATGAGAAGACAATTGAAATTGGTAAATCACGTTTAGGATTCTCCATTTCTTCAATCATACAATTTAAATAATTCCAACCAGAATAAGCGAATAGTCCAGAATAGAAAGCTTTAGCAATACTTCCTGGATACCAGTTGGAGCCTTCAAATGGTTCTTTAAACTCATCCGTATAACCTGTATAAATAATGAAAAGGAGATATCAAGATGTAGTCTTTTCAATTTTGAGTATTCTATAATGTCTTGGTAATTAATATCTTGAAAATGCTGTTTTATAAATCGAGTTTTGTTGTTGCTTGTAAGCAACATATATAATGCATTCATACAAATATTATTTAGCATACGAAGTTATACTACATAGAAGCCTAAAGCGGAAAATAGCCTCGTGTATCACCCAGTATAATCATCAAATAATAATGGATACTTTTCTTATATTACATCTAACTGAGCATAATCCAAATGATGATGTACCTAGTCTGTTACACGCTCACACTATGTATTTTTATAAATTTTTACTAGTGCAGAAACCAAAACACATTAATCTTTATTACTATCAACTCCGGAACTACACAACTGGTCAAGAATATATGCCTAAGCAGTGATGCGACTGGGAAGTGAATAAAAAATGACAGATTTCTTAGGATGATATCTATATGGCCCGTTGGACAAGAGGTGGCTCTCGTGGCCCAAGTGGTCTAGTGGATAACGCTTTGGCGTTTGAAACTATGGGCATTCGGTTCGAGACTCGGTGGGAACATCATCACTCACTGAGAAATGCAGGTACATCTAGCCAACTGACGAGTCCCAAATAGGGTGGAATGCGCTTTATCCTGGATTCCACTGCTAGTCACCATCCACTAATTCAATTCTAATTAAATCCTCAGACATCTTCGAAGCATCTGCACAAATAGCCGACAGGTTACACTGAGACCGAGCACCTCGGTCCAATCAATCGACGGGAAAATCTAAACATTCAATTAAGATATCTGTATCCGTTAAAGTTCAAAAATACCATGCTGATAAGTTCTAGGAACTCTTGATGTTCAAATTGTTTCGGTGATTGAGAATTGAAAATCCCTTTTCCTGTGATGTGATGTTGAATGATGAGATTTAATGATTCAGGATTGATCTCTGTTAATTTATCACATTTCTCCAATATATTAATTGAATTTTTACGACAGATTTATGTCCAGGAAAAAAGATTAGCGACTTAATTAACAACGTTTATCAAACAGTGGATATGTGAAAATGGGATAAACAAGAAATGGTAAAGCTAAACTTAAGCTTACATCGCCGTCGACGCTACCACTGACCTTAAGGAATTAATCAGAATTATTATTATTATTGTTCCCTTCAGTTCTAAATGGAACATAGGGCTTCAACAACATATCCCCACTTTGTTCTTCTCTCTGCCATACTCTTCAGCTGGGTCCATGATTGGCCGATTGGTTCTCACTGTTTCTTGTTGCAAATTTACTCTGTCTGGTCATTTGATCTTCAATATGAAGCCAGCGAAGGGGGCAGTTGTTGATAAAAGCCTGCAACCTGTTGGAAATACTCCTCGTGATACACGAGTCTAGTTTCTGACACATAAGCAAGGACTGACTTTACATTGGTGTTGAAAGTTCGAATCTTGTTTTTCACTCTGGTAAAGTGCAGAAGATTTCCAAACTGGTTTCAGGTTGATGAAGGTGTATCTTGCCTTTCTGATTCTGGCCTGCTTTGACATCTTCATCCATTCCAATCGCCTGTGGATGAAATCGTGCTTTCTGACCAGATAAATGAAGGAAGTAACTTCATTCAAATCTCACCCACTGATGGTGATTGGTGCTGGTTGTTGTTGCTGCTGTTTTTGGTTGGTTATCTCCATCACTTCCGTCTTCTCTATGTTTACCTCAAGTCCCGTCGTCGCTACCCGCCACTTCAGCCAGTTTCTTGGTTTACGCCTGGAAGTCTTTGATCCTGTGTAACATCAAATAGAAATCATCCACACGCGAAATTCACATCTTCTAGAGTCTGCATATCGGCCCGAAGTACTTCTGTCTTTTTGCTCCCAACGCACCATGTTCCACATAACCTATTCCGACACAATTAAGATTATCATCGGTGATAATAGGCAGGAGGCTTGTCTTGCTCCTTTATTCGCCTCAAACGCCTCGCTGAATTTTCCGTTGTGGACCACTTGAAACTTGGGCATAGTTTTATAGCTCCTAAATTGTGCTGATAAAGATTAAGGAGTAATAAAAATTGGCAAATTTTCTCAAGATCCATTTGTATTTCTGACTTTGTTATACAGTCTGCCCCGAAACCTCAGTCTTTCCAAAATAGCAGTTATCATGTCATGTTTCCTGCGAATATACACGTCTTATTAACTCCAGTTAATCCGTTGTTCACACAATAGTCAAATATACCATCTTTCAAGAACTAGTTAAGGGAATCCAAAATAAAAGGTATAATTTGATTCGATTATGCCATCTATAACTCTAATTGGTTTTCAAAATTCATGTGTTGAGGTAGTTACTACAGTTAAACTTCACTCAAGAAATTTTGTTTAATATGAAAACAAATTAAGCCAAGTTTATTCGGCATGTAAAGGAGATATAGATGGTTGAATCGATTCACTCATGTACTCATTAAAAATACTGTATAACTGGCATGTTCTCCTAGTTTGTGTTTGGTTAATTTTTAAAACATCCCCTCTATTTATTTACATTCCACTCTAACGTAAATACCTTACAATATATCAAAATTAATAATTCTGGTATCTAATCTCCAGTTTATGAGACCATCGATTACTTAAAATACCTTATATCGAACATTTCAGTAGTCAAGTGAACGCACACTTGCTTCACCTGACTGTCCAATTTTGTTATATGTATTTTTCGTCAAATATATGAGACAGCAACATGACTGTATGAACATCTTATGATACCCAGCCGATGGTGAATGCAGCACCGAAGCAAGAAATGTCATAGAGACGCAAAAAATCAAAGTAAAATTGGGTTTTTTTACAGTCGAACCAGCAGTATCCTCAAAGACAATATTAGTCCATTAGTCACTGAATAATAATATTTCTGGACTTAATACGAAACTCCCGATAAAATATCTAACCATCAGGAAAACAACAACTTTGAAGCTATAGAGGATGTATAAGAAATGATAATTCTTGCTTAGTTTACATGTCAGTGAGCTACTTAAGGTCAGACTGATCGGTCAGTAATTACTGGAACACCGGAATAAATACTTTACGGTTGTATTGTATGTAGGAAAAGCCGCCTTTGCTTTGAAATACACAGCCTTGTTATATCAATAACTCTGTTTTTTATTTCAGTCGAATGGATGAAATTCACTTTAAGTTTTACCAATGAATTTCAGTAGTCAAAACAATCAGGTGTTATGAACTTGATTGTAAATTTACAATCTATAATTAAATCACAACTTAATGCAGCTTGAATGCTTTCAAACAGTTTACCAGATGCATTAGTTATACATAAATTTCTACAATTCATATAATTCAACTGTCAGAGCTTGAGGTTTAGTCACTCAGTTGCCATTGTCATCAGTTTACTTCTTGATGTTGGAGCGGACTGAAGCCTAGCAGTCAAGTTTGCTATGTGGTCACCAAGCTAGGGAGCTCGCCGTCGTCGTACACTCTGAACTAATGTTGGACTGCTGGAGGCAACCAGGAAGAAGCCATGAACCTACGTTTTATGCATTTTCGCGCTCACCGGTCAGCAAGGCGTATCTGTATTCTTGAAGGAAGTGATGTCTCCTCTGAGATTCAAACCCTGATAATATGGGGCTTCAATCAGAAAAGTTACCCTTCAACTAGCAGGGCTCCCAAATGACCTCATGTAGGCTTCTAATGGATACACTGGATGGCTAATCACATGTAATATATTTATAGTTCATATATTATTTCAAATAAAAAAAATATCTTCGATTTTAAATAAATTACTCTTTTAGTTTACTCACCTAATCCCATACAAACGAAACCTGTGACAATAATCAACAGCAGGGCAAGCATTTTAGCTAAGGTAAATATATCTTGAATCCGTGTAGCTAGTTTCACTGAATATGCATTTGCAAAACCAAGAATTACTAGGAAAGAAGAAAAGCACGATTAACAATGGTAGGTCAATGGGTTTTTGAAATATCATAAAGAAACATAGGAAAACACCAGAGAAAAAACCTGAGACTGTGACTGTACATAAGAAACCTCTTTTTATTAAGTTACAATTTAATGGTGACTTATCTAGTGAGATTCTATTCCAAAGACTTTCAAGGAGTATACGTAGAACATTTTACGCAGCACACCTATGTTTGTCATTCTCTAGCCGACGAATGATTGGGACGCAAACGAAGGATAAGCTTGACAGTTTTGCCACATCTATGTGTATTTATCAATTCAACTGCACCTGCGGTGACAGTTATATTGGGCGTACTACTAGACAGCTTAGCCAACGTGTTTGTGAACATCCCCCATCGTGGTTTGGCAAAGGACAGACAAAAACAATCCGTAGCTCAATTCTGTCACATCTAATTGATAGTGGTCATATAGTCGATAAAACGAAAGCCTTCAAAGTAATTCATCGTATCCCACCGAATCTTTCCAGTAGACTTCGTATTCGTCTGCTGTACACAGCTGAGGTAGGCGATAGACATTCGAACTATTAAACCTAAACTATGCATTCAAAGGAAGTTCGTACAGCCATTATCCCTCCCTTGGCCTATTAAGACATAACCAACTAATAACTTCTACACCACCCCTTATTTATATTTTCAACCCCTTTCTTATCATCCCTTAATCTTATCTTCATTTTAAACGTGTTTCATTTCTATAGTTTTGGTTTGTAAGGATTAGTTATGTTTTACGAGTTGATCACGGATTGATATCAGTTAGAGAACCATTGAAAACCAGGGAGTACTGGACAGCTGCTGTTTCATCCTAGTTTGGGAATCATCGGCAGTACGCACCCACTGGGATTCGAACCCAGGACCTTCCGGTTACAAGGCAAGCTCGTATACCATTCAGCCACTGGGACCCGATTCAATGTTTCATTTCCTTCCCTTAAAATTCAACATAACTTAATCGGTTCATTTGTTTTTACTAGCCTTTATCGACTGCTTCCACCTGAACAATTGTTTGTTTAATCATACTGTTTTTCATTATTCGTGTTATCACAGATTGCCTCACTTTTTCATCCTTATTATTGATAAGACCATTATTATTATTACTATTATTAATATTATCATTACCACTATTATGACTAATGCACAATTTATATTCACCATCGCATTATCCTATAGAAAAAACCATGATTGGTCGATATTTGAATTGTTATTTGTAAACTTATATATATTAGGGTTAAGCTTGATGAGATTTAATTGAAAACAATATTGTTCACTTAAATGTGTTGTTCTAAATACTAATGAATAGATTAGGCTACCTATGCATTTTTTAGTAAAAGATTATTGGTCTGCTTTAGTTAATGCAATATTTTGCTAAGAATATATTTTTAAATTAGTCTGAAGTTTATAAAGTACCTTATTCACACTGAGAATTCGGCATCAGATTACAAGCAAACCGGAAGTCCTGTCAGTTAACTTCTTTTTAGGTTTTCAAAAGCTTCTTCATCTGCTCCAAAATTAACACAGACAAAAATTACAATTTTAAAGAGTTAGTTTGTAGGGATGTGATTTTTTTCGTGTTGGATCGCGAGTACTACACAGCTGTTTCGTCTTAGCTTAGGAGTCTTCATCAGTTCCCACCCGTGATCCCGACACCAGGGATAGGACCTAGGCCCTTAGGTTAGAAGACCAGCTCGCTAACTGTTCAAACACGGAGAGGGGATCCCAATAGCCCATGCATACTAACCTCTGTCAATTGGCGATTTTAGCACCTCTACCATTCACTAACGTCGGCGCTTACTTCTTCCTGCACCCAACCCGGCAAAATTGTCTATAAAATATACAATGTACGTTAAACTACTCAACTGATAGGTCATAAATATTTTATTGCTCAATTTTCTTTATTTTTAGTGGCTTTTCCAGCACATTTCCTCTAGTGAAGAAACCTAGGGTTAATAAATCAAGACTTACAAATGCAGCAGCATAGTTCTCTATCATTTTTAATAAGGTTTTCCACTTGCGATATAAATTAAGAATACATAGGTCAGAAAACAATATAATTTTCTTAACTTCACTTCGAAGCTGTAGAATTATACCGTATTCGCAAATTTCATGGAAATGCTTATAAAGGCCATTTGGTAATATGGTAACTTGTATAGTAATGCGGTGTGTAATTCATATTCATTCGTTTTTTCTTCTTTTATTCATTCTTTTTAACATATTCTGAACCTCTGAACCTCTTTTATCTGGTTGGTTTAGTTGTGGGGCTTTCGTCGTCCTTCTGGACAACATCTTCAATGCAATATTTAGCGTAAAGTGAAATGATTTAAATTTTTCATGAGTGATAGAATTGCGTCTCCCGGTTACCATCTTTACATATGTATTGATCAACTCCGCAACTAAACCAACCAGCTCAGAGAACGCTATTAATTGCGAATCATCCATTTGAGGTAAAAATCTTCTCTATATTCTGAACCTCTTACTGTTATGAACTATACTCCTGTTTCTAGGTGCTTTCAGTTCTAATGATAATCATTTCTGTGTAAAATCAGTCACTTAGTGTTTTTAGATTATGTGGGACTACTTTACTAAGTTTCGAAATTTATTTATCATTAATTTTTATGACATTCAATTTTTATCTCGTTATTAGATGATAGTATGCACTTGCAGGACTCTTCAGAACGCTGTGTAACTGTACAGCATTGAGGTGGATTTACAAAAAGAACATTCTCTGATGATCTATGTCTTTTCAAATTATTTTTTTCCTTCACGTTCCCCAGTGGAACATACGGCTTCAAGCTAGTGGCTTGAAGTTTCTGTAGCAGTGTTTATTTTACAGAATGGGGTTGCTAGCCTCATGCACAATCTTTCATCTTTACCAGCATTATTTCTGGCTTAGTGGGATGAATGAGTGCGTGGGTGGCGGGACATCGAACCTGCGACTATATGCAAGGTCAACGAGTGTCCCAACCGCTATGCCAACGACGCACTTTTCAAATTATATTAAATGATTATTTTTCTACTTGTTAGTATTAATAATATCGTTATCCCTTGTCCGTTTTGTTTTACCTCTAAAAGGAAACGGATATAACATCAACTTGAACACACAATTTATACATTTTATCTGTTTATTTGATATATATATATATATATATATATATATATATATATATATATATATATACGTGATGAAAACCTTTCTTTTGATGCTATTCGCTTAAATAAATGATCAGAATGTGGTTACACGCATAATACATCTTTGCTGAGTGTAACATCTTTTTCAAGTGTTCGTTTAACAGCTATCTGACTGTTTACAGATTTCATCTTGACCTGACATAAGCTACAGGACCAGTAAGAAATCGAGGAGCACTGGACAGCTGCTTCGTCTTAGTTTGGTACTTTTCAACAGTATTCACTTATTGAGGTTGGAACCCATGGTCTACTGATAAAAGGCAAGCTTTTATACCATCCACGCGGAAGACCCTGGGTTTGAACCCCATTGGGTGCGTACCGACGAAAAGTCCCAAACTGGGAGAAAACAGCTGTTCAGTACTCCTTAGCTTCCCAGTGGTTCTGTGTCAGCGTTCATTAACATAATTTTATAACGAAAGAGGGGATTTAATCAGGTGCTTTTTCTCTTGCTATCATTACAGAAATTTCGACACTTATTCAAAATAACTTCAAATTCGTAGTTAATAAAAAGTATCACAACACAATGTGGTTCTAAACACTTTAGACCACAACCAATAATCTATCTGACATTCAGAAAATAAACAGAACAACTTAGTAGCTTCTAGTATTTACTAGTCAAATTAAGAATGTTTTGAATAATGTGGTTACCTAAGCCAAGTAAGATGTAGATGCAGCATAAAGACTGCACTTCTCCTCTTTTTCACTCACCCATTCAAATGTTATTTAATTAGTGATTCGTGAGAATAACCTCTTTTGTTAGTGCTATTTAGAATTAAATCTTCTACCTTTTATCTTACCAAAGTGTACTGATTTATTTTAATAAAGTCTTGTCAAATGTGTGACTAACTTAATCTTATCAGAACAACTAATTTCTCATGAAACTTTTGTCATTCACGTTTAGGACTGTAATCATCCTAACGGATGAACTGTTGGAAGTAGTTCATTAGTTCATGTACCTAGTGAACTTTATTGGATGAGGTTCATAGTCGTAAAAGGAGGACCTTGGGCCACTTCTACTGTCATAATGACGCTATTCTAACCTTTAAAGGTTAGATTTGCAACGCCTCACTGTGGACGTCTGTGAAGCATTACCTCTCCGGTCTGAGGATTTGTATCCATTCTACCTGCTCGACTTCTGGTGTCTCCATAGTATCGCTTGCACCTATTAACGTTAATGTGTAAATGGTCGTAGTTTCTAGCAGTTAGACTGTGTAAAAGCAGCGAAGAACTGGTCATCTCATAAAGTTAACTGTATTTTGAAGGATAGTTATGTCAGATTGTCTTATGTCATGATAATGAACGTGACAGTGAGCGCAAGAAAATTGGTTTATAAGAGTCAAAGTATCCGAAGAACTATTGTGTTAGCATAGCAAATCATTATTCGCACTATGCCTAAAAACAGTAATTATGTTATAAGCTGTCGTTTACCATACTTCAAAAATTGTACCTTTGGACTAACTCAGCCTGTAACAGTCATAGTTACGAAACAAAATAAGATATGAAAACGCCCTTAGTTTCCAAACACTGAGACCATTTATACATATATATATATTAATAAAGCTAAATTTCGGTGCAAAACAGTCTCTTCTTTCGAAATTTATCTTCTAGGGAAGAATTCTTGATTATATCCTTCAAGTTACCTGTGTAACATTTTCATCAATATTCATTTATACACCAAAGAAATGTCTATCAAACATTAAACGTTGAACAGATGCACTCGTTATTCAACTGCGAGTAAATTCTTCTCGAGGTAGAATAACTGAAGTTGAAATGATAATCTGAATCGTGACAGAATTCAACTTAAAGACTTTTAATTATTTTATGAATTAATTATTTTGTTTATATGACTGACTGATGAACTAACGTGAAACTCTGCACATAAGTGCATCGTTTTAAGTTCCCTCACAAAAATAACAGAAAAGAAACAGAATGACATTATACTGACAACTGTGGCTCTTCGGATAGAATAATTAAATATAGACTGGCGAATTATTTTATAATCTTCAAGAAGATAATAAATTAATACATCGTTCCCCTCACTCACTGTGAATGATTTTGGATTATCTGTCAAACACTTCTCAACTGTCGATTCTTGCCATCCCAAAGACACCAGCCATACAATCTACTATTGTCCACATCAGTCATAACAACAGTCAGTGATTTCAGTCAATAGTGTTCGATAATTAGGTTAGTAGCAACAGATAAATTGTGAATAAAAAGAGACGTGAATCCAGGATTTCGCTAGTAAAAACTGATCAATCGAATGCTACTGTAATAGCAGTCATAGTAATATTGAGTCAGACGATTTAGTTATTCCATTATACTGAGATTGGTTTGAATCATTTAATTTTAAAAACTGAGGAATCGTAGAGTCAAAATAAACACAATAAGATCTTCAGGAAAGGTATGTTTGTCCCCTGTGCTTCTAAGTTTTTATAGTGACTCGAGTGATTTTCTATGGGGTAGGTTCGCTACTCCCAAAATTAGGACTGGCTGGAAAACTAGCGAGTTAGTGAACTTGACGAGGACCACAGAGAATAGGAAAAAAGTGTTCAACTCGGAACCCAATGTTTGTCCCTAGATAGTTGTAAAAGAGGAAGTCACTGGTATTTTGGGAATTTAAAGCCACGCAGTCTAGGTAACAGTCTGCATATATCCTTGCAGAACTGTATTCATCCAAATGTGTCCCTTTCCATTAATACAGAAATGTCCCAAATAATTAGGTATGTTACAGAAGATATAGAAAGTATCGCGAAATATATCACAAATAGTAATCATAAAAATGTGCTAGTCATGGATATGTACGTTTGATAACTGTTACGGTAACCGGTTATATGTCTGATTAAAGGACCATTTGAATAGAATCAACGATTAAAGTTGCTTGTCTCGCCACAACTTTCAGCTGCTTACCCTTTAACCAACATTTATTTCATCAGGCTCCTGTTTAGTATTTTCACTGTCTGGATTCCACCATGTATTTGGTTAGGTGTACTAGGTTTCCTATGATTACTAATTGTGTCTCAGAATTCAAGGTGTGGAGTTCAGCTTGATACCTAACAGATGTACATATGTGCTTCAGCGCAACTTTATGTTTGCCAGTGACTACCTATGTGGTAGAACACTATTTGAAAGTAAAGAAGTTGTATATTCTAAACTTGGGGACGTGGTTATATCATTTACGAAAACTAAATTAGATTTTTAACGCCTCGTTCATAAACTGTGTTTTCAAATGTCCATAAATATGTTATTAAATCTCAATATGACCTCTCAATCATTATTATTATACGTTTGCCTTGCTTTCATTAGTTTAATTATTTGACATTTCACACTGTAATAGCATAATTTTTGGATGAATTTTTAATCACAAATTATTGCTCATTATCATATCAAGGTAAGATTAACAAGTGTATCATCCTTTTGCATATCACAAACATGTTAGGGATGACAGTCATAGTGTCACAAATTTATTTTAGATTCCACTGCTAGCCAAAACTATCAGGTCAAAAAATGTTATGTATATATATGTACTGAAAGACTGAGGCAATGGGCGAAAGAGGATCAACATCTTCTGCGAGGTAATTTGCATCGATTTCGAACCTACCCAATAGTTTGATGAATATTTCTACAAAAACAAGCCGTTAAACATCACGATTTGAGGTCTTTTAACTTAATAAGCTGTTAGAAATACAACTTTATTAATATTTTATAATTCCTTGAGGTTTCGAGAGAAACATAAATTCGAAGAACCTAAAGGCTTACAAGTGAGGGTGATGGGGGGTCTTTAGGAGATTAGTAGTTATAGTGATCCAAAAATAGAATATGAGCGTATTTGAAACAAATAATAGGCAGCAATTAACTTGTTTTAATGCTAGAAAACTTTGCATATAGGCAAACAAAAAGACAGTTAACCAGATAGAATCAAATAACTATTTCAGCCTAACTGTAACGACTCAAGCCATTTCGTTTGAAAAATCGACGATTTTTCCTGAATTTGTTTTAGTTGGTCCAATGCGGTTAGTTGCGCTAAAGTCACCTTAATAAGAAAAGACTGTTTATCATGACAGGACAACTGAATTCGTTTTAGGTGACGAAATATTCCAACTGGTCAAATTTAAGTAGCCATCGTTACTGTATTCAAACAAAATAATCTATCAGTGATCACCAAGCAAACTTATTGGATTAAACTGAAGAAGTGTCCCTAAGCAGTAGTTCAACCGGGCACTCTTACAAAGAAAGTGAATGTCAGACATCGACCCTTCATACTCCACACATGCCCATACAGCAGCACAGTGAACTATGTGTTTGGACACTCCTAAAGCAGCATCTTATGAATAATGATGTCCCATGTCTTCACACTGCAATAATGCACGAAAAGTACCTGGTAGGACGATAAAACTCTTCGCAGCTCGAACTTCATCCTAGATAATAACACACTCTGAACACCAAATTTTTCATATTTCCAAGGCTAATCATTCCTTTATTGTCTGATGACGTTTTCATCAGTCTCGTCTCTTACATGCTCTTCTGACAAGCACAAGATAACAGAAAAGCCTAATGTGTTTAACTGGCTGATGTTTAGACACTTTGTCCAGAATTCAAGTCCAGCTATATTTAATTCCATTTGACTAATTGTGTGCTGTGATTAGTTCTAACATGACAAAAATGGGACAATGTATAGTTATCGGAACATTCCCGCAGAGTAGTTTCTAACAATATCATAGGTATTTTAAATTCATAAACATTTATATTGTCAAAACTACAAATATTGGTATCATTACTATAAAATGCATATATACATATAGTTTAGATATTCGACTTACGTATGCACATTGCCGCTAAACAACGTATTATAGAATCTGGCTGTTGACAGTCTGGGAATATAGGTTGGAGCATGTATTTAGAAAAAGTCATTGCGATAACAGCCATTGTGGCAGGTCTAGCCACCATCACTTCAATCCAAAAACGCAAAAATCCCATAAAGGAACCAAATGCCTCTAATACATAGGCATAGTCACCACCTGAACGGTGAATTAAAGTTCCAAGTTCAGCGTAACAGTAAGCGCCAAGCATCGAAAATAATCCGCATGATACCCAGATAACAAGACTAGCTCCCAAGCTTTGCATATTTTCTAATATCCCAGTTGGACTAACAAATATCCCTGAGCCAATCATTGAGCCAATAATGATAGTAATGCTATTCAACAGACCAATATTTTTGACCATCTTAACTTCATCTTTCGGTTCATCATTTGAGCTAGTACTTTTCCTCATAGAGCTCATTACTGAAAGCTTTCCAACCGACTGTTTTTAACTAAAATGTAAAATGAAACAAAATGAGTCAATATAAATATTGAATTATTTAGCCTGTTAAGCGATAGAAAATGACAAGGAGTATGTGGTATTTCGAGAGCTTTGAGTGTGTTTCCATGCATGAAATAACGTTAAACATATGATGATTATCCTCTCAGCCTGTCAGTTTCTACGATGACCAGCTTGTTGTTCAGGCTTATACTGAATTATAGACCTATTCACAACGATAAACAAAACAATACCTGAGTTTTGAGTTGGCAATTAACCCCAAGCATGACGATTAAAATCCCAGTGATAAAAAGAAAACATTTTGAAATGAAAGTATACTCACAGTATGTCACAGTGGAAATAACCAGCTAAATTTGGTTGATTTTAAAGTGAGAAGACTTTTCTGTTATATTTTGTGGATGAATTCGGTGTTTTTCAGTTGAATTACTTTTCTTTAAGGATAAAATGAGAACAGCCGTAGCGTATTTTATCTGGAGGATGGATATACATATACATATATAGTGTGATATTATAAGCCTTTGTGTCGGAAATAAAAATGAGTACAGCAGAGGTCCTGTGTCTTTTATATATGCTCTGAATAATTAGGCTGCCTTTGTCAGCATACTTAGTGTAAGGTGAATGGAAACAGCACGCTAAGATTAACCAGATTGGATAATGTTTTTTCTAAGACGGTTAAAACAGGAACAGACGAAATACAGTCTCCATTCGGGTAAATCTACTTACGTGGGACACTGTCCCGAAGTCTGTCCCAAAAAGTCTGCAATTTGCCCTAAGTCTGCCCCAAAAATTCTACAATGCGCCCGAAAAAATGCTAGCTGGGACACGTTAGAAACTGAACTGTGATTGTCTATCAGAGATTCTTATTGCATGCTTTCTTTCCACCATAATTCAGAACATATTTATAGGAACGTTTAAGCCAAACCGTACTTAAATTCTCGATTATTGTACACTGATAAAATGTGTGTGATATGAGACTACCCACTAGAAAAAATTATTCAAATATTGAAAACAATGTGTTTAATGCGCAGTTTTGTTTGAAAATTTTCGATATAAGGATGAAACACCTGAAACTTGCCTAAATGTGTAAAATATCTGTTTTCTTAAGTTGACACTTCGTTTAATTTCGTAAACTTGACAGTACATGTATATCGAAAGGTTAAAACAAAATTCCAGGTTTTGAAAAGTTGAAGAAATTTTCAAAGGTCATGATAATTCTTCTCCTTCATGTATCTTTATCTGTCCACCTGCACGCTGAACTAGCATACTGAGGTCAAATACATCACTTATACCATCATTCCTGTCAAGAGATGACGGTGGAATCAGTGTTGGAAACAGATAGGGTTCACCCCTGATCTTTGAACTGCACTGCTTTTTCCCATAAGATGTTGTGACCAACCAAAAAGGGAAAGATAAATTACGTCATATCAATAGTCATTTAGGGGTTGGTGGAATTATCTTACACCGCCTATAATTTATTATTTCTCACGTACCAACAACAAAGCAAAAGCCAATATTTGATCGTCCAAACCAAGAGATATATTTTGGGACCAAAAAAAGCCTTCAGACAAACGCTGAGCTAGCTAGTGATCGTGCACGTTACACGACGGGGTACCAAATGGCGGGGATGCTTGACCGGAAGCCTTCAGCTAAACAAGTCGACTTAAACAGTGGTGGTCAGCATCCAATGAGTGATTGCTGTGGTCAATAATTTTGGGGAATTATTTACCGCTACAGCTCACTCCCCCCTAGTGGGGTCGTGAGGACCCTAAGACAGAACCAGCCGGAAGTAAAAAAACTCGATGGTTCCCTTTCGGGTGAAAAAAATCTTCCGAGCGGCTTGGTGGTATGCCTACTGGTTTGTCTGCCTATGCTAATAGGGTGTTTGTACATAGCTTCCTTGTTGTTGTTCGTTGGATTCCGTGCTTCGTTTGTTTCCTGTCCAGTGCCCGTCGCACCTGGAAAAGAAAACAAGAACGCTAAGAACCATGTCGAGGAAAATGTACGAAATGAGCTTTTTGGTTAAAAAAAATTGTGTGCATTTACTATACAGTAAAATAATGCTAAGTTCAGAACATCGAAAAAAAATACATCTAATTAATTTTTTTTGTGTATGTTACATGAACTGTTGAAAAAAATTTTTTGTGTTCGGTGGTACTGTATATAAAAAAATTGATACGTCAAAAAAAAAAAAAGTACCACAAACGAATGAGTTGCGTGAATCACACGAATTCGTTAAGTCAAATAAGTGTGCAGATATTCTGGGAACCTTACGGTGCGTCCAGAACGGGTTTTCTTGGGAGGCTCGATAGAAGGTTCGGTAGCTGTCGCTGTGCTAGTGACTTCATCGATGTCTAAACGATCTTCTGTTACTTGTGGATTTTGGGGTACGTTCAGCTCTATGCTAATAGGATTACCCTCCAAGTAAGCCGGTTTCAGACGGTCAATGCTGACGGTGTCCTCGCGGCCGTTTTTGTCCAAGACAAAGAATTTATCAGAACGTTTAATAAAAAAAAAAAAAAATGGTCCGGGGGTTCCAGGGGTCTGCGCACAGAGTCGCGACGAACAAATACATGTGAAGAAGTTTTCAAACACGGATGAACGAAAACATCAATGGACTGTGGACGAAGGGGAGCAGGTTTAACTGAACGCATTGCGTTTGTAAGCCTGCTGACGTATGAAGCGTGATCTACCACTGGTGGGAAGCTCGAGGGAGAAACAAATTCACCAGGCAGTCGTAGTGTCGTGCCATATACTAGCTCGGCGCTAGTACAACCAGCATCGGTTTTCAAGGCGTTTCGTATCCCTAGGAGAACTAACGGAAGGGATTCAGTCCAATGGGTGGTGTTTGCGGCTGACAGACCAGCTTTCAGCTGTCTGTGTAGACGTTCTACCATACCATTAGCTTGAGGATGGTAGGCTGTTGTTCGAAATCGCATGCAACCTATGATTTTAGTCAGGGCGAAGAATAAGCCACTTTCGAATTGCCGCCCGCGATCAGTTGTTATGGAAGATGGGCATCCAAAGTTAGCGATCCATCTTTCTACGAAGACGCGTGCGACTGTTTCAGCAGATACATCCTTGATGGGTACTGCTTCCGGCCATCGTGTGAAGCGATCGATGCAAGTTAAAATATAAGTATATCCATGTGATTCAGGAAGGGGTCCAACCAAATCTATATGGACGTGTTCGAAACGAGCGTCAGGGAGAAGAAAGGTGCCAAGTGGGCTTTTGGTGTGTCTTATCACCTTGCACTTTTGACAAGCTAAGCACGTGTGTGCCCATTCCCTTACTTCTTTATTAATGCCAGGCCAACAAAACCGACTAGTTACGAGCTTGACAGTAGTTCGAATACCTGGGTGAGATAAGCCATGCAACGTATTGAAGACGTTACGGCGATAACTTTTAGGCACGATGGGGCGAGGAGTACTCGTGGAAATGTCACATAGAATAGTATCTCTTCCCATACCTAAGGGTTTCTCAGCTAATTGTAGAGTTGTTTTCGACAACTCATGTTGAAGCTCGGTATCTTCTTTTTGAAGACGAGCCAGTTTTACAAGGTCTATGCCGTCGATTTGGGTGAAAGAACAAACGCGCGACAAGGCATCTGCCACAGTGTTGTTTACTCCGGATACATGGCGAATATCTGATGTAAACTGTGAGACGTAATCCAGTTGTCGTGATTCCCTGGGTGAATACTTATCTGAAGGTGAGTTCAGAGAGTACGTCAGAGGTTTGTGATCCGTAAAAATTATGAATTCACGACCCTCTACCGAATGTCTAAAATGTCGTATAGCACAGTACATAGCCAGAAGTTCTCTGCCGAATGTGCTGTACTTCGTTTCAGCTAATTGAAGGCGCCGGAGAAAAAGGCAAGTGGTTGCCACTTTTTGTCAACTAGCTGTTGTAGAACTGCGCCGATTGCAGTGTTTGATGCATCAACCGAGATACTTAACGGTGCCGTTGGATCCTGATACATCAGAAGTGTGGCATTCGCAATAGCTTTTTTAATCTGGGTAAAAGCATTTCGAGCAGACGCGTCAAGTTCTATGGACTTGTTATTCCCTCGAAGGAGGTCTGTCAATGGCTGAATCAAAGAGGCACAGTTGGGAATAAAGCGTCGATAATAACTTACTAAGCCGTTAAAAGTGCGGAGACTTTTCACCGTCTGTGGCTCTGGAAAGTTCAGTATAGCCTCGACCTTAGTAGCCAGTGGGCGAATGCCCTTGCAGTCAATAGTGTGACCCAGAAAGTCGAGTGAGTCAACACCGATTTGACACTTTTGAATATTAATGGTAACACCATGTTGGCGTAACCTTTCAAATGCCAAGTCCAAGTGCCTAAGGTGAGTTTCCTTGTCTGGACTGGCAATGAGGCAGTCGTCTAAGTATGCGTATACAAAGTCGAGACCGCGAAATACTTCGTCAATGAAGCGTTGGAATGTTTGGGCTGCATTCCGAAGACCGAATGGCATACGTAGAAATTCAAAAAGTCCGAAAGGCGTAATGATAGCCGTTTTCGGGATATCTTCTGTTGCCATCGGGATTTGGTTATACGCTTTAACCAAGTCGATTTTGGAGAATATAGTCGCGCCGGATAAGGTTGCCGTCAAGTCGTGTATATGAGGCAACGGGTAGCAATCAGGGGTTGTTTTGGCATTCACTCGCCGGTAATCACCGGTGGGTCGCCAATCGTTGCTATCCTTTTTCGGAACCATATGAAGTGGGGATGCCCATGGGCTATTCGAAGGTCGAATGATGCCAAGGGTAAGCATATGGTCAAATTCATTCCTGGCGATTCTCAGTTTGTCAGGAGCTAATCGTCGTGCTTTAGATGTCACAGGTTGTCCTGTGGTAATGATGTGGTGCATAACATTGCTGGTTATGCACGGTAGGTCGTTCGACGGGCAGTTAAGTTCCGGATACTTGTCAACAATAGGTTGAAAAGTTGGATCAAGAATTGCC